TAATTGAATTACTGTGCTTACGTTCTCCAATTTGAGGTAAGTAGTTTTAGTTCCCTGTTTCCCACTATCTCTAGAATCTATTGCAACACTGCGGATTAATAGTCTAATATCTATCAATTTTAATTATCTATGCCTAACCAAATTTTGACTTGATTTGATGTAATTTACTTTAATGTTTCTTCCCTTAAACATTTTTAACTATTTCCTATTTAAATTAAGTTTTTATACAGAACTTTTGGACTTTGAAACACATATTTTTATAATATTTCTAAAATTATCATTTTCTTTAATATTTTTATACCCTTGCAGAGGGTATTATAATTTCAGTCAAAAGTTTGCAACGCAGTGAAGGAGACATTTCCGACCCTATAAAGTATATATATTCTTGATCAGCATCACCAGGAGAGTCGATCTAGCCATGTCCGTCTGTCCGTCTGTCCGTCCGTCTGTCCGTCCGTCTGTCCGTCTGTCCGTCTGTCCGTCTGTCAGTCTGTCCGTCTGTCCGTCCGTTTCTACGCAAACTAGTCCCTCAGTTTTAAAGCTATCTGCTCGAAACTTTCCCAAAAGTTGTCTTTCTATTGCAGGTAGTATATAAGTCGGAACGAGCCGGATCGGGCGACTATATCATATAGCTGCCATATAACTGAACGATCGGAAAAGCCATAACTTTGGTGTTTTTAAAGATAAGAAGTTGGGACTTTCTATGGGTTTTATTTTTGGCCAATCAATCCGACATACCGAATTTCATAAGGATCGGCCGACTATATCTTATAGCTGCCATATAACTGATTGATCGGAAGTGCCATAACTTTGGTGTTTGTAAAGTTAAGAAGTTGGGATTTTCTATGGGTTTTATTTTTGGCCAATCAATCTGACATACCAAATTTCATAAGGATCGGCCGACTATATCTTATAGCTGCCATATAACTGAACGATTGGAAATGCCATAACTTTGGTGTTTTTAAAGTTAGGAAGTTGGGATTTTTTATGAGTATTAAGAATGCATCATATGAATAATTTTGGAGAATATAATTTACAGAGTATTCTGCAAGGGTATATCAACTTCGGCTCCGCCCGAAGTTAGCTTTCCTTTCTTGTTTAGGCTCGAATTAATAACTTTCAGGAATTGTAGTATACTTTTTTATGTATTAATATTTTGTATATGTATATTAGCTGTTGTCGTTTAATATTTCGATTTTAAAATGTAGAAATGTAACTTTGTAAGCACATATAACGACTTTGTTATGAGATCAAAGCCCAATAATAATTGTTTTCCCCTCAGCTTTTATACTTTTCATTGGACTGTGCAATCACAGGAAATGTTATCGGTTCACCTGGCTAGAAAACAAAAACCCCATGGGGCTGGATAATCCACCGAAGTGGATCTGGGTGCGGAATAGCTACCTCAATTGCCGCTGTCCTTGGAGAAAATAAAGAAAGTCCCTAATCGCATTTGACTTTACCAATATCCCCAGCTGGCATGCGAGCTGGAGCCTTGGCTCGCCCCACTTTTTCTCAGCTTTTCCTGGGCATTTTCCGTGTTTGTTGCCTGGTTTTCACTGACAAATATGTGTAGCCGGCAGAATGCCAACAATATGCAGGTGCATATTGTAGCGGCAGATTGTGGTTTGTCGTTCCGAGTGCCTAACAAGTGCCAGCAAATGTACCGTGAAGAAACCATTTAGGATTAGTTTAATATGATACACAGGGCCGGGCTGAAGGGAGGTGCGGTTGCGGGTGGGGGGTGCCTAGATAACGCTCCTGGAATAAGCAAACAGTACTTAAAACTGCCGGGGCAGGACTACTTAAGATGGGGGTGGTCCGGGTCCGGATACGGGCCCGGAAAGAAATAGAAAAAGCCACAAGCAAACGGACAGGGACAGCGACTGAGACTGAGACTGAGACTCTGGCAAAATATTGGTGAGATAAAGCCAAGGCTCAGCCCGAGCTGCACAAAGGAAAAAAATGACAAATTTGCAAATGTTAAGACGGAAAGAAAACATCAACATAAGTTATAGGCTTAGTGCGTAATCGTTTTTCGCAAAGGACCAAGGACCTGCCACGGTGGCAGGCAAAAGCCGAAAAACCGGGTGGAACTGGGTGGTTGGTGGGATCGGCATGTGGCATGTGGCAACATGGGTAATGATGCCACCAGCGAACAAACTGGCCGGGAATTCCTTGTGGTTGGGGTCTGGCGAACAGGAACTCCGAAATTGGAGCACTGCATTAAATATTCAAGCGATATGCGGTTCGATGAGGTCACTTAAGGTGCGGAACCAAACGGAGCAGCAACCTCAAAGGAGGTGGGCATCAATGGAGCATAATTCGTGGAAGCTAAATATGGATGTAAATATATTTTAATGGCTCTTTTTCTTACGGTTTTTTTTTTCCAATCAAATTGTTGCCCATTTCCCAAATAACATATATAAATATTTAACAAGTGATGAAGGAAATACATTTTCCGCCTGATGAAAACAAATAGAGTATGTGTTTCCTAAGTACAAGTAAATTAAATGACAAAAAGATATATAATTACCTTTGTAATATTAATTTTAAAAGCATGCTGGTACTATCATACTTTTAAAATATGTTTTCCTAAAATGGAAAAATAGTTAGTTTGCAATTTTAAAAGCTGATCGGTGTACTTAAAATGGATAACACAGAAAAAACCTTTAAAGATACTTTTATTTTTTGAATCTTTTAAATTCGTGGTCGATGTAATTAAGTCTGTTTTTCATTTCTTCTATTATAATTTTTATTAAAAAATGATATTTAGTCTGATGGTTTAATGCATTTGTCACTTGTCTGTTATTTGCTTAACGTTGCCACCAATGTTCATGCTTCAAATCACGATTTTTGTGCCCGTCTTTGACAATCGTAAAAAAGCACTCCACATATCTGCCTCAAATCATCGACTTATCTGCAACTCGGGAAATATTGCCCGCCCCCATTAGACATTAGCCATGCGGATTTCCCTGGCTGTTCAAATTAAAAATTCATAAAAGCAGAAATGCGAAATTATGATGATAAAATAAACACAGAAAAGAAGCCGCAGACGAGGCGACGGCCAGCGACAGGCTAAAAGAAGCGGAAAGCTGCACTTGGAGAAAATGTTTTGGTTAATATTGCGAAGGAATACTATAGATGAGATGAAAATACTATAGCTTGATTTTAAACCAAAAAGAAATTCAAGTAAGATCCTTGACAAGAGTATTATAATTGTGATGTTTATATAAATGGCTTGCTTTACCTCAGCGGTGTTATGTTAAAAAAAATATATAAATTATTATAAGTTTAAAATATTTAATCAATAATTTAATATATATTTTAATACTACATTTTTGCAATAACAATTGAAAGATAAAATTCACTTTTTAAATGATTGAAATATTAAGATTAAGTAAGTAAGTAAAAATATACAGGAGAAAAACAAGTAAGGTTTAAAAATTCCGATTTCTTTAAGGTCTTGCATTATTTTTGGCAGTTTACCTTTAGAACGGGGGCGGGGTGGCTGGCGAGTGGGGTGGAGTGGGTGGTGGTCTGAACGTGACATTGGCCGGCTACTGTGAGAAAAAGCCAGCCGCAGATTCGGACCCTGCTCCGGCGACTTGAGCGCTGATGATGTGGATAAAATAAACATGGGACATTGGTTTGGCCGAATGGGCAGGGGAAAAGGACAGGGGGCGGGGCAAGTGGGCGGTGGCGAAGGACGAAGGACGAAAGCGTGTTTAAACATTAAAAGGACCATTAGATACGCCTTAAAGTATGCTTCAAGTAGATTATCTTCCATCAGTTTTGTTTGCTTACTTGGAATTGTTTCGCTTCATTTTTCTCGTTTCCAAACACACACACACAGACACACACAGACAGACAGACCCAAAGCCTGGTTTACTTAGCCTGCGAGTGTGTGGGTGCGCTTTCCTTTTGGCCAAGGAAAGCATCTTTTGGCAGAGAAAGCCAAAGCTGAAGACTGAGAAAAGCGCGGGACGAGGACGACGTTATTATAAATTGTGCGCGTGTCCTTGTAAAATAACATCTAGTGAACTCGAAGGCCCCAGCACCAAACTCTCAGTCACCCTGAACCACCCTGCACCACCCTGATCCGCCCTGCACCACCCTGATACACCCTGCACCACCCTGCACCACCCTGCACCACCCTACACCACATTCTGGTCAAGTCGTGGCCCCGGTAACGCTCCTTAAATTACCTAGAAGTGCGCCCTGGGTGGCTCCTTTTGCCCCACGGCTCATGACTGATGGCGGCCCCGCTGGGCGTGTGGGTCCTGCCCATCGGGTGGGGCCGAAGTGGGTGGTGCAGGATGCCCGCCGCCAGCCTTGACTCAATTTAAAGCCGTCCAATTACTCGTAAATTTCTATTTCCGTTCGCAGCGCGTCGGACGCACGGAGATCGAGAGTTTTATCTTGCAAGAACATCAGGCACTTTAATAACCTGGTGAAACGTTTAAGCCCTTCTGTAACTTAGCTGTACATTTATGGTAAAAATAGTTTATATAAATAAATGAATTAAAGATTAAGTATCTTACTGTCAGAATACTGCTTGCCAGTGATTTCCTTTGGGATACAATTAATTATTGGTAATAATATGATAATAAAGTCGACTATACAAAAATGTAAAATGCAACATTAATAGAAACAACATTTTTAAAATTGTATAACAAATAGGTATAATTGTTTTTATTTAGTAGTTTGGTTAGTTCTTATTTCCCTCATCATTTCAGTATGAAAAAAAAAATTCATTGAGCACTTAACGTAATGTCGGCATTTCTCTTTTAGAAGGACGTTCCCGAAGTTGACTGCATTTATAAGTACCTATTAATATGGAACGTGATATTGGATCGATATTGGAATCTGAGAACTATCAGCAATTAATTTACACCTTGACAGCCATCGGCCTTATCGGATGTCAGGTGTGTGCCATGACCAACTACATTAGAGCCGCCTCGCAGATGTCCTGCCAGTTGTTTTCCCGGCATTCAGTCATGCGCCTCGCAATTCTTTGGCTGTTCTCCGGCTGGTTAATACTGGGCACTCGGATGCGGGCCTGGGGCCAGGAACTCGGCCAGGATCTGCTCATCTCGGAGCTGGGCAATCGGCAGGATGAGCTGAACACCAGGCGCCTGGCGAGTGCCATCAGTTACATAACCGGCAAATACATAGCCAGCAGGATCAACACGCTGGTCGTCCGGCAGAGTTGTCTGGAGTGTCCCTACGAACTCGTCCAGCGCCAGCGGCAGCTCATCGACCAGGTCCTGCAGAACCTCGCCCCCGATCTCAGTGTCCTGCTGCACTGGGGCACCTCGGAGGAGGCCACTCTCTGGGACTACACCCTCTTCGTGGTCAACAATCACAACATTTTCAAGTGAGGCAGTGTTTGTTCTTGCATTCCTATTTGTTATTATTTGGAAACACCTGTGTTAAGTTCTGGAATATGTTTTCAACATGTTTTTTAGTTATTTCTTCTCGAAATACGATCCACAAACTAAATCTTTTAATCACATGAACTGCTCTATTAAGTACTAATAATACTAAATGCAATATTTAAAAAAAAAGTATTTTAACTGGTTTCGGTTATTTTTGTTGATAACAAATTGGTAAACATGAATATCTTTACTATTTACTGGACAATTTACCAAAAATTATATTACCAAGAAAATAAAATGAATTTTAATTTTTTAGACTCTCTGTGTGAGACATCTTTAAGAAGAAAAAATATAAACTTATCGAAAAGTCTATAGTGTTGTTCTCCTTCAATTATTTGCGATATTTTAAAGAAATCAATGACAATTTTAGTTTATAATTTTGAAATTGAGTTATATGTACCAATCAATACTGCAGGAGTCAGGTGTTAGCCTTCCCGGACGAGTTTCTGGAGCGCGAGTTCTTCTGTGTGGTGGTGGTGACGGAGTTGCAGAGCGCCTCCACCGTCGAGTTGACCGTCGGGCGGATTGTGTCCTTGAATCTGCGCCTGAAGTTCGTCAATGTGGTGGTGGTGGCCCAGCTGGAGGACGGCCTGGTGGCCATCTACAGCTACAAGATCTTCAAGGAGAACTGCATCCCGGGCATCACGGTGCAGCGGATCAACCACTTCGACCGGATCACCGGTGAGCCGCTGGAGAACATGTCCGACCTGTATCCGGTGCGGCATGGAGACCTGGGCGACTGTTCGCTGCGGGTGGCCGCCAACCATCTGCCCCCGCACTTGATCCACAAGCGGCACGGAGAACGCCGGCCGAACGGCACCGAGCCCATGTTCATTCCCGCCCAGGATCTGTCCGGGATCGACTGGGATCTGCTCCAGCTGCTGGCCAAGGCGCTGCACTTCCGCATCGACCTCTTTGTGCCCACTGAAACCAGCCAGATCTTCGGCGAGGGCAACGTTTCCGGATGCTTCGCGCAGGTGAGTTGGGTGAAATAGGCATAATTATTTTCTGAAAACCATACATACTGCTAATTATTTCCATAACTGAAAAACACAAAGTTGGTCTTTTCTTTTTATATTTAATTTAAACTTACATTTACATATTTATTAGGGATTTATTTAAACAATTAAAACACATTATTCCAAACTTGTTTCTGATTTTTGTCTTTTATAAATACGACTTAAATGACTATTTATAATATATTTAGGTTTTAAATTTAATACTTCACTTTTAAGAATATAGTATTGTAGTATTGATTAAACTTATGGTAACTAAATTCAAATATAATTACTCACTGAAATAATGGGACATATACTTGTCCAATCAAGACTAATATATCTATTCAAGACTTTGATTTTTTTGCAAAGCAGCTAAACAAATATTTTAATTAGAAGATTAGACAACTTTGTAAATTGAAATTATATTTCCTGCCATTATTTGCCAATCTGTTTAATTGAATTTAAGAGAGTAGGACACTAGGTTTGTGAATGTGATTTATTTGGCAACCCTTTTAATTGAATTCAAGGCAGGTGGATAATGTTTTGTGAATGTGTATCCATTTCAGCTGGCGGACGGGAGCGCGGCCATCGCCATCGGTGGACTGAGTGGCTCGGACAAGCGACGCTGGCTGTTCTCCAAGTCGACGGTGTACCACCAGAGCCACTTCGTGATGGTGGTGCGGCGGGATCGGTACCTGGGTCGCTTTGGGCCGCTGATCCTGCCGTTCCGGGGCAAGGTGTGGGGCATGATAATCGCGATCCTGGTGCTGGCGGTGCTGAGCACCTGTTGCCTGCGCTCCCGCCTGGGGCATAAGCACCGCCTGGAGAACGTGCTGCTGGTGGGTGTGGGCAATCCGATTCCCACGCGGCGGCTGCCGGGCAAGGGACTCCTCCGCTACATGCTGGCCACCTGGTTGCTGCTCACCCTGGTGCTGCGGTGCGCCTACCAGGCGCGCCTCTTCGATGTCCTGCGCCTCTCCCACCACCGCCCCCTGCCCGAGGACCTCGGCGGGCTGATCAGCGAGAACTACACCCTGATGTCGAACGGCTATCACGAGTTCTATCCCCTGGCCCTCACCCACCGCCTGGGCGAGTCCTTTTCGGCCCGATTTGAGCGGCTCCAGGGTGCCGATCCCGGCCAGCGTCTCACCACGATCTCGCTGATGAGCAACCTGGCCTACTGGAACCACCAGCACCGGAACACCAGCCGGCTGACCTTCGTGCGTCAGCCGATCTATGTGTACCAGCTGGTCATCTACTTTCCCAGGAGGTTCTTCCTCCGCCCCGCCCTCGATCGCAAGATCAAGCAACTGCTGAGTGCCGGGGTGATGGCCCACATCGAGCGGCGGTACTTGCAGTATGTGGACAAGCCGGATGTGGAGGCCAACGACCGCAGCCTCCTGCCCCGGATCACCGGCAAGATCATGGCCGGGGCCTACCGCTTCCACGGACTGGTGCTTGTCCTGGCCACCGGGGTCTTCCTCCTGGAGTTCCTGTCGCGGCGCTGGGATGGCAGACTGCGCCGATGGATGGAGTGGGTGCAGCAGCCGTAGGAAAGGCCTTTTGAGGGATAATCAATGATCAACTACACAAATTGTATACTTAGCCAGAAACAACGAACGCTTTTGATTAGCATGGAATGTTTATCATCTTATAAAATTATCACCAATCAAGTGCTGTATTTTCTGTGTTAAGTACTTTTAACTTGGAAATAAATTTCAATTTCTTCACCCAGAATAGCAATGGTCTAATTTTTACGTTTTTTTAATTTAATTTTTTAATTTTTTTTTCGGATAACAATTATTAGATAGCTGCCATAGAAACGATGGCAAAATGCAGCGAAATGCAGTAATTCAATAACACTACGAAAAACGACATAGCTTTATTGTTTTTAGTAATATAGGCATAAAAATCGAAATGTAGTCAATTTGTAATAACTGCAAGGGTATATAAACTTCGGCTTGCCGAAGTTTGCTTCTTTTCTTGTTTTTTGTATAAAAGTACAATTGCCTGTATTTCATTTTGTCAATACTCTAATCAATTTGTATCCTATTGGGAGTTAATAATATACTCTCTAAACAAAGCAGATGCATGTTTCGATAATTCGTTAATGGTGGAACCAACTGGCGTCCTCCGTTAATCTTTGCTTTTCCACAGATCGGCCAGATGCCAGTCGCTATCTTCTGTCTTTCGTCGATGGAGGAATCTAAGTGGTCCGGCGACTAAGCCAGACATGCTGCACTTAGATGGATTTTTGTGCGGTGGCCGGATGGCCTTAAAAATTGATTTAAGACTTGTAATGCAGTCGTACTCCTTCTGTTTTTCTGTTTTCGGTTTTCTTTCTTTTTTGTTTTTTCCCAACCTGCCAGCCTGCACCACTCTGCCGGCCACTCGGCACCACTCGGCACCACTCTGCACCACTCTGCTCCACTCTGCTCCACTCTTGGCCATGTGTGAGCAGCGGCAACTGGCCAACTGGCCGAGCGGCACGGAGCGGCACTTGAGTTAAGCTGTGCAAACGTTTGCATAATCACGTTCCAATTTAAATTGCTCTATTGCCGGACTGCCACCGCCCACTGCCACCCCCTTTGCAAGTGGGCGTGGCCATCGTTGTCGCCCCTCGAATTGGAAAAACCGAACCACTTTTATTAGCCAAGGGAGGGTATGTTTTTCATCCAGCCATCCATTCCATCTGTTTGCGGAGACTATGGAAAAATGGGATTTTTATTTAACTTGGTCGCTATCCATCTGCGTGTGTCCATATTTGGAATCACTGTTTCCTGTGGGTGCGTAAACAAAAGGCAACAGTTGATAGTTTCCAAGAAAAAGCATAGATTCGATTTACATAGCACGCACATTGGCATTAAGTTGTCTTGCTGGGGATTAACTCGAGGTGAAGACTTTCTTATGATGGGAGAAAGTAATTTAAAATTCAATTGTCGACGGCTTAAAGGCCAAATTTAATATAGCGCTGGACAAATTTATTGATTTTGTAGCAGACACACTAGGATTAATAACACAAGTTTAATGTAGGATTTTACTAAAACTCGTTAAATGAAATTATGTTAATAAAAATAATATATTTAATTATTTAAGAAAGTAAGGATAAATAAAACCAAATTGATTGGCTGCTATGTAATTGTCTTGGTGGTTTTCTGTTTTTTTTTGCATTGGGAGACAGGTAAAAATCCATTTATAAACAATTAACGCGACTATAAAGGGAAGGAAGTTCCACCTTATTTTAAAAAAAAAAAATGATTTTCAAATTCAACAACTTGATACGATTTTGAATATTCATTAAAAATAAAATTGGTAAGTTTTTGTCTTGCATAAAATAATATACATTTACTAAGAAGAACCTAGATATTATAAATATTAAAGATTTAGGAAAAAAGGATTTAGTTTCCACCTTTTACTTCTCGATTCAGATAAAGTAGTTAATTTGGCGTGACTGTCAATTTACATATCACACTTTTGCTGGACTGGGACTCATGGCCAGAAGTTGCACTTCTCGTCCTTGACGATCGGCTCCCCGCTGCGCCCCTCATCCTCCTCGGCCTTGGGTGGGAAGACGCGCTTGCCGATGCCGGGATTGATCTGGGTGTTGTGGAACTTCATCATCAGCATGTCCCAGTCGAAGATGAGGCCGGGGCGCAGGTGGAGTCCATTCCGCAGCATTCGGAACATGCGGCAGATGGTGTCGTATTCGGGGCGCTCGTAGAATCCCATGCCACGGCAGTAGTTCAGGTACATGGTGAACTCGCAGGGATAGCCCTCGCACAGGACCTCGATGCTCACCGAGATCTTCTTCTCGTGGATGCGCTCGTACTTCTGCTGCTTGGTGTCCGCCTTTAAATCCTGCCACGGCAGCGATCCCCGGTTGAAGTACATGAGGACATAGCCGATGGCCACCATGTCGTCGCGGCGGGATGACTCCACGCCCGCATGAACGCAAATGGAGGCGTAGCGGGCGGTTCCGGTCAGCGGACGCTCCTCGCGGTACGGCACATGCACCCCGGTGGTGATGTCCAGGAACTTCTTGGAGAGACCGAAGTCGATCAGGTACACCTGCTTGGACATGGTGCCCAGGCCCATGAGGAAGTTGTCCGGCTTGATGTCGCGGTGCAGGAATCCCCGCCCGTGGACGTACTCCACGCGGCGGAGCATCTGCTCGGCCAGCAGCAGGACCGTCTTGATGGTGAAGGCCCGCTCGCAGAACTGGAAGAGCCGCTCCAGCGAGGGGCCCAGCAGGTCCATCACCATCGCCTGGTAGTGCGCCTCCTTGTGGAAGTACCTGATCCTGGCCAGACCCGGTGCGGGTCGCAGTGCCCGGTAGAGGCGCCGCTCGTAGTTCAGCTGCGGATGGCGCACCTTGGTGCTCTCCACCTTGATGGCCACCCGTTCGCCACTGTGGATGTAGATGCCCAGGTAGATGTCGCCGAAGGAGCCGCATCCGATCTTCCGTATGACCTTGTAGTTCCCTATCCGCACTTCGCGGCTGTGCGTCGATCGCAGTCGTTCCATTCCGCCCACTTCCGTTTCCGGTTTCAGGTCCTCTTCTGCGAGTGTGAGTGCTGCTTTTATTCCGATCCGAATGGGGCCCACTGAAAATATGTACTTGCATCTACAAAGTTTGCTAAGGAAAAGTTAATCTTGGGCTACTTGGATACCTAATAGCATGTTCAGGGGTTAACAAATTGTAAACTATCTGCAGAAAAGGCACATCAATTGATAGTTCATTAAATGCGGCAATTGTTTTGTAAGCAAAACCAAATAATAACTCAGTTGATTGGAATTTAATTGAATAAAATACGATATTGACGAACTAGACATACACAAAGAATTGATTTGAATGCAGGTGAGTTGTATTAGTTACTTCATCTAGAGAAGAAACGATTTGAAATCAGTGAAGCCTTTTTCAACGAAATATTTAAAATGAAAAAGGATTCAAAGTTTGCTGGTGATGCGGAAACAGGATTCATCACTTAAGAATGTAGAGCGTTGCAATTTATACTTTGTGCAGCTCGGCAAAATATCGCATTAATTGCAGAGTTTGCAGAAGACTAACTGCCAGCAACTTTTCGACCAAAGGCATAGTTGATTTTAAGACCATTGGAATTCCCCAATTTATTCGTTCAATTGTTAAGCATCCAACATCAAGGTGCATATGTGCTTAATTAAGGAAACGTTGATCAGATTGATGCCATATTGAAGTGAAGTCAGTTGTTGAATATATTCGTTTGAATACTCAGCTTACTAATATTGAGCTTAATTACAAATTTCTCTATGCCAATATTGGCTACCCAGGACATTGCAATGATTCTCTAGGACTTTTGACAAATTGAGAATTCATAATCATTGCTTCAGGAAAAGGCAAGGAAAATTAGGGGCAAGCGATTCGACACCGTTCGATTTGCGATTCGTCGTTTAAGGTTTACCAAAATTTAAAGATGCCTTGTTCGTATGTCTATGGCTAGACGTGGAGTAGGACTTCCAATTCATTTAATAATTAAATATTTGAGAGGTTTTGGTGTTAAACAAAATTACAAATAAAATAGATTGTAAGTAAATAAATAATGTTTGTGACTATGAGTTGAAAATTAACTATTCAAATAAGGCAACGAAATAATGTTGAATGAAATAATGTTGAATAAAATATAGTATATTATTTGAGTATCTTATTAAAATACTTTCACTTTAATATTATATTTAATATTCCTTGATTATTTCCAATGAATATAATTTCCAGCCAATGCTTGTTAAGTAAAGACATTTATTTATAATTTCTTGTTAGCCATAAATTAAAATCTTCCTTTAGGCTGCACTAGTTTATTGAGGACTCCATAATGTGGGGAGTGTCGCACAGTGCGGTATTAAGTATCCGCCACGTTGATTGCTGGCCGGCACAGCCCTTTAACTGCGACTGGGTTCGCAATCCCTAGCCCCGGTCGAACTAACCCAATCCTTTAAGGGTGCCCCCGAAGTGCCATCCTGCCAGCGCTGTTTGTGTGTGTGTGTGTGTGTGTCCGTGTACTTGTGCGTATCGATTATCCTGGCAGACGGCGGCATCCGTAGACGGAGACACAAATGGGCAAATGAGGAGGAGGAGGAGGAGGTGGAGGAGGAGCAGGAGGAGCAGGACGACGAGGACGGATCAACTAGCCAGTAATAATGTCTTTCGCTGACATTTGACATTTTGGCTATATATCACTCACATTGTGACAACTGGCAACTTGGCATTCAAATATAGCAGGAGCACCAGGAGCCGGGCTCTCAGATGTTTAAGAACAATAAATTTGTGGGCCTTCGGCCTGTGCGTGTGGCCTCCCCTTCGCCACCGCCATGTCAACTCAAATATCACCCCCATATCCTCCCAGTGTATCCACCGAAATCACCCCGTATATGTGTATCCCCTGGGCAGATGTTTGGCACCAGCCTTACTGGCTGCCTGCAAGCCCAATGACAAGACGGAAGCGACATATTTGAACTGGAATGAAGCGGGATTGAGGCTGCAGCCGGGCCCATTATCATCATCGGTACAGAGAGAAAAAATTATGTAGCTTCCGGGGGCTTAAAATGGAAATTAAAGGTTTCAAAAACAATAGCTAAAATGTCTACAAAACTGCAATGGATTAATAAAAATAAGTCAATTGATTACGTTCCTAAAACTTAAACTAAAGATTACTTTCCAAAAACCTAAGGTTTTAATTGGTAGTATGTAATTGTGAAGTAAAAATATATTATTTTAAAACAAGCTTTTTATTGTGTTTAAATTAAAATAAATATTTCGAAATATGTGTAACCTTTAAGTGTGACATTTTTTCAAAATTAGTTACTAATCATCCTGGGATTAAGGTTACTAGATGTATGATCTCACTCCTTGAAGTTTATATCGCAGTGTAGGAAAAGGAGGAGCTGGAAGCCTGGCATTCACATCATAACATGGCCGTCTGATGGATAGACAGATAGCCGGGCATTAGCATTAGTGGCCACCACAATGGGTATGGTGATGACGATGGCGATGGCAGCGAGATGATGAAGAAAATTGCGATGATTACGATGATGGGCAGATGATGATGATGACGGGAGCAGCTCAACTGGACGAGGATGAGCCAAGGCTCCAGTTCCTCTTCCCGGCTCGCAGTTGGATTTGGATTTGGATTCCGAACCTGATTCAGATTCAGATAGCGATTCACAACCCGATTCCGATTCCGATTCAGATCCGTACTCCCAGCTAGACTGTCCGTCTGGGCGTGCGGCTTTCGGTGGGCGTGGCCGGTGCTGATGTTGAAACATGCGGGTAAATTATCTTTTCATTTCCATCAACGTCGTCGTTGTCGTAGTTGTCTGTGCGACTGTTGTTGTCGTGGAAATTGCCACTTCCACTCCCCCCTTTTTTCCGCCCACCTGCAACGTAGAGTTACAACGGCGACATCCGGGAATTCTGAGGATTCGGGGGATTGGAAATCGCCATTCGATTGTTTGGCTTGTTGTGTTCTTCAGTGCCACGCCCCCTCTGCCGCCCCTGAAGTTTTTGGCCCTCATTAAGACGAAATCGGAGGCCGTTAATAAGCTTGCAGCAAACTTGTCCCGCATTAATTGGTTCGTGTAAATGAAATTGCGAAATTAAAAAGTATGTTCTTAACAACTGGAAATCACAGTTAAAATAAAAACAACTGAACTAAAATCGACTTGAAAGTGTGTTATTGCTACTGTTTCAGCATATTATTAAAACCTTATTGACTGCAGAGCTGCGTAAGGTAAGTAAAAAAGTAATTCTCTTTTTATTCGGGTTCAAAATACAAAGAAATATAAAAAAAAAATTATATAAACAGTTTGAAAACGATAACTGTAGCTACATGTAAAAGTTGTATTACGGTTAAAATAGTACAAATGAATTTGTAATAAAATGTAAAACTATGTACAAATATAAATATATATATAAACAAATATATATATATATAAACAAAACAGGAAGGTAGATATAAAGATATATAAAAATATATTTTCCAAAATTTAAGCAAGTAAATTTGGGACTTACGTTGTGTCGAATTTTAATTATAATACTCCATAAGCATTATTTCCCACTACTTTAACATTCCAGCTAAATTTGATATTCCTTAGCTTAAATTAATTTGAGGGAACTGTGTACAGATACAAATCGTTATCCGCTTTCGTAAGTCCAGTTCGATTTCCCCCGTCAACTATAACTTTCCCGGGTGCAAATGAGTATTAATGAATATGAAACCTATCCTGTCGCTGAGCGAACTAACTTGCCAACGTGTCGAGAACAAACGTGACAAAAGTTTATGGTGAAACGGCAATTGCACAGTCCGAGAAAGAGATGGGCTGCACCAGCGGGAAAGGGATGGCCAGAGCGGGTCCGAAAGGGACGGAGAGAGGAATGCGCTTTGATGGCACTGAAGTTGGACGAGCAACAAACAACAAAATATAAATGACTTTAATAGCTCATCAATGATTCAAGCGGAAATCCGGGCTGTCCAAGTGCAGTCGGTTTATTGGATACCGGAAAGGCATTATGTTGCTCTCCCTGTCCCTCTCACTCTGCCTCTGCCTCTCTCGCCGTCCCGCTCTACTTGTGCATTTGTTTGATTGTGCTGACTGGAGTAGTCCGTCCTGTCTGACTTTCTGGTCTGGTCTGGACTGGACTGGACTGGGGTTTCGCATCGAAATCAGGGGGTTCGGTGCGGGGTCTTCGTCTGCTTAGCTGCAATGATTTTCACGCTGCCTCCGAAAAGTATGCAACAAAATTTGCATATTGTTTTGCTCCTGCATCGCCCCCTGCAATTTGTCCCGCTCCCTGATTCTAACACCCCTCCCCCATCATCAGTCAGTGCACTTGGAAAGAATTCGGGTGAGTTTAATAACAAAAATTCATTTTATTTTGATTTAATTAACCTTTTGCACGCAAAAATATTGTTAACTTATATATTGATTGATTGAAAGTTTTTTAAGCGCATAAGCAAAGTAATGACAGTGTGGCAAATAATATTTCTCTAGTTTGTTTCTAAATCTTATTTATGATTAGATTTGTGACTTCTTGGTATTAATTTATTAGACGTATTGTAATTCCTTGCTTCGGTTGTTGGTTTTTCAACCATTTTCAGATCATTGTTTTGAATGGTTTCTTGTCTTAATAGTTAAATAAAAATAGCTTTAAGCTTAGAAATTTGGAATTTGGAATTTAAAACCTCTTAAATAATTAAATCACCTAAAGATAGTACAAAGAAATAAATATTTATTTGTAGTCATTTAAAGACTGTAAGCAAGGAACTGATATTTTAAAGTTAATAGGTATTTATTAAAAAAAACACTTAATAGGTAAGTTCCCCCAATTTATACTGATATTCGTTTTCTAGAGTCTTTCGGGTGTCATCATTTCGATTGTCCTTTTATTTTGCCAGTGCTTGTTGGGCATATGCACCCCATTTGTATTTGTGTTCAAGTCAACTCTCACTTCAATTGTCCATCCTTTTACACCTGTCCGACGAGTGTGTGCTTTTGCATCATTATTATCATCATTATAGATGGCACATGGCCAGCTTCCCCATTGGCCATGTGACAGTAGCCGCTTGGCTTTTGTGTCTCATTTATTATGCAA